TAGACTAATAAACTTGTGGCCCTCTATATATTCACTCATACTCACTACCTCAACATTCATTATTTTACTACACGACACTCCTCACAGCTAGTTTTTGACTGAGGGAGGAAAACCAGCGGACCTGGAGAAAAACCCTCAGAGCAAGGAAGAGCCTACAAACTCAAATCACATATACTGTCCCGGACCGGGAATCGAACCAGGACCACAGCGGTGAGAGACCGGCGTTTTAACCGCTCGGCCATCCTTGCTCCCCAACGGGACCATGACGTAATAACACAGGTAATCCGCATTTAGCTAAGAGCGCGCTTAGATACCATAACAGTCGGTGCATTCGTTTTCTCTCTCTCAAGCATTGGTTGGGCGGCCTATGGTTATATCGAACACCTTTGGAACCGTCATCAAGTGTTTGCAATAGTAAGTGTCCTTTAATTAAGAGACTTTAATTGCAGTAATTTCTTTAAATAGGCATATGAGTGCCAGGAATCATAACGGGGTGCCAGCAATGCAAGTAATTTCAATTAATCGTAATAAAATATAATAAGTTAATCTTACTCTCAGGAGAAGAATCCATTTTCTTTGTGGATAAAGCTCCTCTGACTTGACAAGCACAGAGCGAACACCAACACTTTTCATCGCCGTCACATAGTGATCTCCTGTGAGGATTGTGTGACTGCTATCGGGATAGATTATTTTGATAATCCCAATAGTTGTGTCACACAACACCGATGTCATGGGAATGAGCTCTTGTATTTTGAATGGCATTATAGATTTTTCTAAATGAAAAAGAAAAGATCGTTTAATCCCATAAAAATGATTTAAAACTCTCTAAAAATTGCGGGCTCCCTGTGTTAGATTAGCTAGAGAGCGAGACAGAAAATCGTTGAATCTGAAAGATAGGGTAATTATACTAAATGCATTGTTTGTCATTGCACTACACCTCTAAAATGGTTTTCACTATTTCATAAAGACTATGCCTGCTTTGTATATTCAATGGAAAGCAAAATATCATTCTTTAATTAAGAAATATATAACTCTATTGGAATTCAAAAACACAAGAGAAGCAAGCTTAGAAACACCACACAAGCGGCCATTTTATAGTTCTTTTACAAAATATTTCTGCATTTTTCGAGCCAAAAACAAATTTTGCCGGTAGGTCGTGTCTGTGTCTCTGTCCTCTGGTATAAACACGGTCGTCAGCCAATCAGAGCGCGCATTATATATCAAAAGTTAACACCATTTACGCAAAATCTAATGGCAACAATGCATTTCGGTCTCGTAATTATGCAGTACCACAGTATTTAGTATTCAAGGGTGTTTGAAAATGCTGTAGATGAACATGCTAATAGGTGGGCGCACAATGACGTAGTTTGTTTACATCCAAAATATGACATCCAAAAAATAACCAATCTGAACTAATTCAAGATAATATTAAAATTAAAACAATTTTAGAGCAAACCCCTTTTACATTTCGAGATATCCGCATTTCAAAACTACAAAATCTTTAAAAAAACATTCGTGGTTGGCAACATAATGATATCTCTTAAAATATTTAACCAATTGCCTTCAAATTCTAAGGAATTGATAAAACAGGCATGACCTCTTTTTATGGGCTCGATTTTCTTGTCGCTCGAAATTCGATTTCTAACTTTTATGCAAATTAGCTAAAATGTAAACATTGGCGCCCTCCTATAACGATCTGATTCATACCTTTTTGTTCCCCAAAGAACTCCTTGTCGCCAACAGAAAACAGAGAATGACTGAACAACGCACAAAACAGTGACAACATGGGTACAATATGACTGGCCTCTGTTGTAGTTAGGTTTTGTCCTTGATGAATAAGTTGCAAGATGGGGATTTCTTTCCTGAAAAGTGTAAAAGCAAAATGAGAAGCCTCAAGTCAAAACGTGCAGTGCTAGGGAATTCGACGAAATCCAACTGTGCATATCGCGCAATTCTAGCTCTGTTCTTCCGAGTACGTGAAAATTCCCGCGCTTTTGTATTCTGTTTTGACGCGAGTGGCTATCTGGAAACCAAACCTCGTTTTGATGCTAAAATTCGTTGCCAGTACACGCTTACACAAACAGCGAAATTCAGCCCTTATTGGTAAAATTCGTTCAGAGAGGAAAATTGACCAAGGCTCAGTCTTCTCGATAAATTTGCAGCTTGCTTTTTTTCATACATACTGTTACAACTGCAGATAATCTGAAGTGTCGCGAAATAATTCTATGTGAGTCGTCTGCATAATTTGCGCGACTTGCAAGAGACACTAGCATTCCTGTGTGACTATAGAAGAATTTCAAGTACATGTAGTTCAAAATAAAGGACGACTTACCCAGTCCCTGTAGTAATTGTCTTATTCAAAATGTGAATCCACAGTTGATGAATGAAAACAGGGTTGAGAGCTAGAGTGTACAGTAATCTGAAAAAAACATCATCATATAAAAAACAATTCAGTAAAATTTGATATATATGCTACGTGAAAAGAGAAGGTTGCATTTTCCTGCACTGTCACTTTTGTAGATAACAAATCAAGAAATGACATCTGTAAATGTAATGCAACCAGTAACCAAGGAATACGCAGCGACACCATTTTAGATGCAACACAGCATAAAGGAGAGATGACAGTTACAGTCCTCATACCTTTTTTTACTAAAACAGCCCTCAATAACCCCTTTAGGGAGGAAAGGGGGGATAACAAAAACTCCCATCATTCTATCGGCGTCGCTGCACATTGACCAAAGAGGATTTTCAAGATGCGCAGAAGAAATATATCAGGCGCACGCCTATTTTCAGACGGTATTCAGAAACTTCTCGTATTTTTGATTGAAAATACAGTATCTCATTTCATGTTTGCGCCAATCTCGACCCCAGAGTCTTCACGGCTAATGTCACGCATTGACCTCCGCTGGATTGCAAAAGTGCGGGCTCTGGGTACGAGATTGGTGGAGGAGACACTGGTGAAAAACGCACTGCGCATGTCCACAGATTTCCCGCCAGTGAGCACCTGCGTCTTTAAATCTGCCTAATTTATTTGTAAACAGAGCACCTGGAGATTTTTGTGAAAGTTTTTTTACAATTTATAAGCTCGTTAACCGATATATAAGATTCACATTTCCATCAATCTTTGTTCATGATAGTTCTTTTAGTATGCAGTTTCTATTTTTATCTTGTCATTTCTATAACAATTTCGGAAAAGAGTAGCGCATAAGTCCGGTGTTACAGATTTCTTGCTTGCTTACATCGCGACGACATAGTGGATTACTCCGTAATGAAGTACGATAACCACAAAAACGTTAACTCCAAGTTCACAAACATTGTGATTGTTACCTGGTTTTGTGTACTTGCATTCTATTTTCTGTCATTAAGTGGTGACAAACTCTACACATCGCAAGTATAAGGTCATGTTGTCTGAAAAAAATCAATTAATTCAATCAATTAATTAATTAATCAATTAATTCTTGCATGGACCAAAGCCTCCACTCTCCCCCTCAAAAGTCAAATGATCAGTCCCTAAAGTTCTGAAGCTCCCCCCAAGTCAAATGATCAGTCCCTAAAGTTCTGAAGCTCCCCCCCCAAGTCAAATGATCAGTCCCTAAAGTTCTGAAGTTTACCAACCTTTCGATAGGGTTTGTTTTGTTGATATTTACAGTAACTAGTGATTCAAGACTTTTCACGTGTTCCTTGGAGTCTAGAATCTTTAAGCACTCATCACGCAGTTGATCGAGTTTATCGTCCTACAAAACGTAAACCATATTTTACTATGACTATCAACTTTTGGAAACAAACTCCCCTGGTTCTGAACAATAGAGAGCTAAAGGGCTTTTGTTAACCGGCATTCAACGCGGTCGTCAAGATTTTCTATAAATGTGCATGAAAAATGCTGTTATTCTTCAGGAGTTTGTATGTTTTCTTGTGATTGGAGGAATAAAACAATGCTTATTGTTTTCTCGTTTTTAAATCCTGTCGTTTTCTTTAATTTAACAAAGAGGAAGTAAACAAATAGGATAAAATTTTGAAATAGCGTGAAGGGATAACCGGGAAATGCAGCCAAATTTAAACAAACATCAATATTTTCATCTTTCGTTTTTTAAATTGAATCTTTCAATATTCACTGTTTGTATACCTGATTATATTCAACCTCCATGTCTGAATCGGAATCACCATCGCTGTCATCAGGGCAGGAAGCTGTGATCAGAACAATGCATGTATATTAAGTATGCCTTGAAGTCACCGCACCTCAACCCCAGGGA